CAAAAATGCTAACTCACTTCCCAAGTTGTTCCTGCAGCACTCTGTGCCCACACATTAAAAATGGGGGTTCTTAGAACTATGAGAAGGTTCCTCTGGTCTGAAAACACCTACGGAGAGCCGGGCATGACACACGCAAAAATTTGCCACCTAGCTTGGTAAATGTCACTAATGAGCAACAGCAGCTATACTAACTGAGCTCAGATAGAGCAACGCTTATTTGAATTGCCGCAAACTGCTTCCATTCCTCAAAATCCTCCGCACGCACAGACCCACAATCCGTCTTATCCATACATCTGTGATCAACAGGGAAAACAAATTCATTATTTAACACCATGTTTCCCAGTGAGACCCCTCAGTGTATTGGGCATGGCTGCATAATGCATGCAGGCTGTATAAAAGGAAATCCCATCACCAGCACAGTAAAGCTTCATCTCATCCGGCTCTGCAGCTGGGGCATCACACGTGCACACCGTGCACACAATATTCCATATTGTTTCTCATCCGGCTGTGGAGGAGAGAGGCATCCTTCAGCTCAGACTAAGGCATGTGATTTTCCAAGACAGCATCATTGTATCATCCTGTGGGAATTCATATGATCGACAGATGATGTATTATGTGTGATCCATGCAAAAACACCCCCCAGTATTTCATGCATTTTAAAAGACAGCTATATCTTGGATTGATGTATGTGTGGAGAGGGGGAGGGGAGGATCTATAATTCAACACAGGCTTTTTGATGGCTTCTCCCCAGAGTTTTCTGCCCTTCTGTTTTATGTTCTCTGGCCTTTCTACAGACCCTTTCTGCCTCTACGGATCAACTTGACAATAACTCGGTCACCGATTGAACAGCAAGTGTGTCTGTGTGTGAGAGCGTTCGATGCATGTGTGTGTCTAATGGTGTGTCTCGTGCTTTGGGCGAGCACCAAGCGTCCTCTCGCCAGCTCTGGTTGTTCTCATATACAGACGTTCTGGGAAATCTCCTTGGCATCGCGTGTGACTGCGTGGACAGTGAAGAGGAAATGGAAGACTCACAGATCAAATGTTATCTAATGAAGCTAATATAATTCAGACGGAGAGGCAAAGCTAACCCCTCGCCCTCCAGGCTGTGTGGCCTTACATCCCTTTTCATTCTTCACAATCCTCTTTCTATGTGTCTAGGCTCGTTTCCTGGAGGGTCACCATAACCTGTGCTAAAACGATCAGTTTAATAATCAGTTGGAAAAGCAATGGACAAAATTACTGATGATCGATGAATCTAATTAGGCTTCATAGCTAAACAAAAAAAAGGTGTTTTTTCATTGACTTCCAATACAACATCATTTACAACAACAGCAGGATTCATGTTTGATCTACTGTCTTCAACCATCCACCCTGATTCTCTTTGGTTTTGATGAGACGATGGTATTCAGAATTTGTTTAACCTTTGGACAGCTGGTTAGCTGATACACAGTTTTCAGTATCCGTGCGAACAAACAAGACTTTTGTCCAGAAGACCGCTGTTCGGCACTAAAAGTAAACATTGACATTTTGTCATGAGTTGTTGGAGTCACTTGGCTCACATGAGTTGCCAGTCGTTTTGAAAGGACACTGTGCATGTAACGAGTTGAAACTTGCACTCTGCCGTGTCAAAAACTGATGCGTAGAGGGCAATAGCGTCATAGTTTGAAGCTAAGGGCCACTGTGTTATAGTTGCATCGATGTATCTTCTGATTTTGTCAAAAAGATTTATGTTCACTCTGAAAAGGAAGGTAAACTATTTCACCAATACAAACGGGACTAGACTGCATTGGAGGTTTACCTCCACGACATCCATAATCCTGAAGAAAACAATGCACCGGGTACAACAACACCCATAAAAAGAAAAAGAAAAAACATCTTATCACAATTTCCTCACTCCTATTAAAATCTCATTCCCACTAAGCTTGCCGCCATGAAAGCAGCTTCTATCTCTCAGATTGTCTTACCGCTGTTTCATCACGCTGAGAGCTGCTTTTACAAATCACACAAACAGCTTCCTCCGGAGGGGGTTGTCGTTTAAAAATAAATAAAAGCAAGTACCTGAATACATAAACACGAGAGGGTCACCTTCCTCTTAGCTCTCTCGTCTCACTCTGCCTCCTGTTTTTTTCTTTCTGTCTCTCGGAGCCTCGCCCAGGTTCTTTTGGATGTTTTGTGTGTCACGGTAACCTTCAGGGGATCGTGTCTTGTTATCTCGCAATTGAATAATGACTGTTGTTTTTTTGTCCGTTGCTTCCACTTCTCTCCTTGCACCCGGTGTCCTCGCAGCATTCGACATGGTGTCATCAATATCTCGCTCGCTCTCTCTCTCTGATACATTCTCTGTCTCTCTCCCGCCCTAATGAGCAGCGGGGAAATATCAACTAGACAAAAGCAAGAGTGCTCAGGGATCAATTAATTGGGATATGTCAGCAATGATATTAGCAATGTGTGTGTGTGTGTGTGTGTGTTTACTTAGTTTTTGCTGAACTAAGCAAATTTGCAAAACTAAGTGTTGTCCAACACCTGCTGAAGAGTTGCTGACAAAGACTGAATGTTGACATTCAGGTGTGCATTGCTGTCCTAGCTGTCATGAAGTACACTTTGTCCCCTGTAAGACTAAATGTCCTCATTGAGTGCTTCAGGAATGACTCCTACAACCCGGAAATGAGTTCACGTCTTTTGCACTGGTCTCAAAAGTCAAAGTTTCTATGTTTCTTTGGTTGAATTAAAACAAGTTTAGGAGATTTTAACGTTTAGTACTACAGTATAAGATATACAATATCTCTAAAATTCCACTGAAGCTTTACATTTCTTTAAAAAGGAGGTTGCTAACAAGTGGCGAAATGAAACGACTAAGCACAACCAAGCGTACTGGAACGTCTTCAGCTTAGTTGAAGTCATGCGACTGTGCTGCAGAGACGGGGACTTGGACATCGCCTCGGACCTAGACACACAGACAGTGACTTGAGACTTGACTTGGAGTCTAGTTCAAAGACTTGAGACATGACTTGGACTTGCAAAAAAATTACTTGTGAGCATATCTGTGCTTCAAAAAATCATAAACGTGGTATTTATTTGTGAAGATTATCTTGTTGAACAAAACGTATAAGTTTCATAAACGTTTGTTTGCCACATATTTTATTTTCTAAAATAATCCAAAATTAAAATCCCATTGGTTTGTTGTAGAGGGAACCAGGGCGATCATAACTTCCGCGATGGCTTTAAAAAATACGTCATCCCTGCAGCACTCTATTTATGTTGTTTATTACACCTGCGCTGTTCATGCAATCTTCATACCATGATGAGACAAGATGACATCTGTGAAAAGATCTATTCTGATGGAATGTTATATTATTTGAATGGTAAATGACTCAAAAGACAGAAGAGTTGGGCGACAAAACAGATGCCGTGTATCAGCTCTTATTTCACAGCCGACATTTTGACTTAAAAAATAAATGTGTTATTTGCACCTGTGTTTTTCCTGCTGTGACATGTGAAAAAAGGTATATTCAGGCCCTATAAGACTTTATTTGTAACTTGGTTGAGATCAATCCCTTCCAATACAAAAATCAGCGTGTTTAATGTACTGGATCAGGTGTCACTTTCTTTAGATGTGCCTCATCTCTGCACAACAAACTTGATTTTGGTTGATTTTCACTGGAAGTAAATCCAGTTGTATTACAACACCCTGCACACCCACAGGTGTTCTCAGTTATCTGATGAGACCTCTGTTCAGGTTGGAGGTGGGTGTCGATCATCTGTTCATGCTGTTTTAAGGCTTTTTAAAAAAAACAACCTTAAATATTTAGATTTACTGCAAATAAAGCCACATTGAATTAAATTATAATTTGATAAGAAAGGAAAACTAAACATAATAGAAATTTAACTTATAACTCCTCAGTACGTCGCAGTACATGGGTGGTGGCACAACTAAGTCTGCTAGATCAAGGTCTTTAAAATCCTAATCAGTACTCACAATGGACAAGCACAACTGATCAGGATTGTAAAGTTAAAGTGTTCAACAAGTCAACGCCGTTGAGTGTCTGTATGAGACGCACCAGGCATTCAACTAACTCCAATGTGTCATTATAATCATGATATTATTAGTCTCTTCATCTTTTCATTTGTAGACCACTTTGAATTGCATTTGATTTGTTTGAAAGGTGCTGTATAAATTAAACTGGATTGATTGATTGATTATTAGACACTCATAGAAACAAAGGTGGTATTTATAGTCCTCTAAGGGCAGATGGGAGTGACCGTGGATGGGTCAAATGACGGTGAAGCTACGCCACTGAGTCACATGACGTTACATATATAGCTTACAAGTTACAAGCCTACTTATTCTAAGCCAAACTACGGTGTTTTTCTCAGCTTTGTTGCATAAACAGCCACCGTCTCACAACGTTAACAATGCGCCAACCTTCAGCGTCGAGATACTTCGCCAAAAGGCTTCTACCCGAGCTGCAAAACATGACTTGTACGGAGAAGATAACGTTGCAATTGTGATGTCTCCAAACCCCAGCAATAAAAGTTGCAGAAAATTATGACTACTGGTAGAAATCATATTAACCGAATTTTCCTTTTGGATGTGTGTAACTTATTTAACCTTCACAAAAATAGCTTGAGTGTTATGTCCAACCTTAATCTCTCAGCGTGACCCGTACACACACACTCTCTTTAACACTTACGGGCGCCGGTGTCAGATTAGGGCGACCACTTCACACACGGAGAGGGAACACAGTGTTTCCATCAAGCTGGAGGCCGTCTGATAAAAGCCCAAGAGTAGAGGACGGATGATTACAGTCTGTCCTCACTGAGGATGTAAAGAGACAGTGTCTCGCTGACTGCAGCAAATGGAAACTAGGACAATGCAGAGACCACGCAGAGGCCACAGCTGCCTGAAGTAGGTCATTAAAATACATGCAAGTGTAGCGGCACACGAAGCTCCCAGGTGTGACTTCGGCAGGTGTGAAACAAAACCACAATCCACAACAGCAGAGTTTGAATAAGCTGTAACTTTTATTGCACATTCCTGTTTGGTCTTGCAAACGACCTTTCACCTCTTGAACGTTTTAAGACCTCGGCCTCGACCAAACACTCAAGTCGGGAGTGGGACAAAGTCGCCCGGAGTAACTGATCACAGGTCAGATGTGCGCATTCCCTTTACGAGTGAGATTTGAAGCATAGGGAGGTCATACTGATCCTTGATCTGTGACTGGGGAAAACTTCAGTCCAGATCTTTGTGTTCACTGCATTACCCATAAGCCAAATCACTGTCTAGAGCAGGACCAATGGGGAAGGGACAGTAGTGACACCACGGAGGGGACTAGGAAGTATTCAAGGGAGCGTAGACATTTTCTTAATTCCACTTTGATGCACTCCCAATGAAGAAAATACTCCCCTTTTATAATCTTGAGGCTTTGCAACCTTCTGTTCTTCTGTACTCCCTCAAGTCCCCCCCCCCCAAATAAACACACCTTCCCCCATCACACAAATACATAGGCTATCGTTCTCAGTAATTCTTTTTTTTCCTTCTTCTCATTTTCTTGTGACAATACCTGCAACATGCTTCAAATCTTCATTTTGGCAAACCACAAATAAATTAAAACACAAACATTCATATTCACAACACATTGTGACATTTTTCATGACGCTTCGAAATAAAAGAAGTAACAATACAATACAGAACCCAAAAAAGAAAACGAAAAAAAGAACAGGAAAAGAGAAGCATTTGCATTTTTGTTTTTCCCCATATTTTTTCTTGCTTTTCTTGAAAAAAGATATACAGTAGCTAGCTACCAATCACGTATCACATGCAGATATAATACAACATAATCAGTTCACCCAGTTAGTGTTTGCAAACTACCAATCTAAACTATATCACAAAATGATTCTCTTGAAACCAGCAAACACTCAGCGTTTGAGATATTTTCTCTTACTAATAGTTCAGTTTACAGTTTTCTCCGCTGACAAGCCGAGAGTTCACTATATGGTCGACCCTGAAAGGACTAACTCGCTTTCGTACATGATCACATACCAGATGGTGTGTTGTTGTTGTTTTTTTATACTCTGCTCTTTTTATTTTTTAAATCCCGATGGGACTGTAACACACATGTTTGCTCACACATGCACTCACACAGAGACGGACATTTGTTATCGGCCACAAACGACACACACGAGGGGCGGCTTTGAAAACACGGCGCAGCCCGATCCAAACGCAGCATGCTGGTAGCGCGGCTCAGCCTCCAGCTCAGCCTCCAGCTCAGCGGTTTAAACTATCCTTCTCCAGGATTACTTTTGGGGCCCTGCTGAGATGCTCCTACGCCCCTGTCTGCCCTACACTCCTCCCCCTCCCCAAAAAACATAGGAGCAGAAAGTGACGAAATGTCAGCGCCGAGCGGGAGGTTTGACATCCTCCATCCTTCTACTCGTCTCTAATGACGCTTGGCTTAAATGTCAGACCAATTAGCAGCTTTCCCTCTGACCTTTGAGATAGCAAAAACAAACACACAAGGAGTCCACTGGATTGGACAGACAAGACGGTCCGTAGCGAGCAGGCGTCCAGCTGATTGAGACTGACGTTGCTGCAGCCGTAGAGTTAATATCAGATATTCATAAAGTCCTTTTAAAGGTTGGAACTCAGGAACTGAGTGTGTCTCTTAAGTAATCACAGCAGGGTAGAGCAAAATAAAAATCTGTCTTCGGCCATTTTGCAAGCCACCTGACATTTCCAGAAGCAGCCGGTAGTGATCAAAGCTCTGCCTCTGCTCTTCTTCTCCTTCTCTCCCCTCTCCCCTCTGCCTTCAGTCTCTCTCTCTCAGCAGACATCAATCAGGCGGGCTCTGAAGCGTGCGCTCATTTAAAGCTCCACTCCATCCACAGCAGCGCTCGAGCCCCATGTCTGTCTGTCTGTCTGTCTGTCTGTCTGTCTTCATTCCTGGGCGTCACAGCCGCCGTCAAGGCGTGCGCACGAGTGTGTGTGTGTGCGGAGCACAGCTAAACGTCCAAAGCGTTTATTCAACTAACCTCTTTATGGTTCAGAGAGAGAGAGAGAGAGACACACAACCTCACACTTGTTTACAGTACTAATAATCAGGAGCTGACATAGAAAGTAGGACAAGACGGCGACGAGTAATTCAGCTAAAAAAAATAAAAAAAGAGCACTCCCTTTAGGCCTTATAGTGTCATTCACAGTAAATCATATTATTCTCTGTTTAAAGGGTTGTCTCCCTTGCTCACACACACACACACACACACACACACACACACAAACATACTGAAGCCCGGCCTTCAGCTGTACCATCTGGTATCTAAATCATGGGAAATACAGTCTTCTTCCTCTCCTACACACACACACACACACACACACACACACACACACACACGATAACATCAGAGTAGAGAGAGAAAGAAAGAAAGGTGATTGACTGTCATTCTATTTATCATAGCCTACATAGTCTCAGCATCAAGCAACAAGTGACTTTTAATTCCTTCATCGAAATCAACATCCATCTATACGCAACAGTGAGCTCTAAATGTAGCCACAAGAGACGGAGAGAAAGAAAGGAGAAACAGAGTGAACGACGAGCTAAAGAAACGGATACAGAGAGATAAAGAGAGAGAGAGAGCACAGCTCCATGTAAATTACAATCTTGTTGCATTGAACTGTGAGCAACGGCACAGTCGAAAGAAAGGGGAAATGAAGGAGTGAATGAGTGAGTATTAACGCCAGTGCGCTGCCCGTCTATTAAACATTAACAGCTTCATTTATATGTAAATGACCCGGCAGCTACAGAGAGAGAGACGGCGGGAACCGATGCCAGTTCAGTGCTTTGGAGGAGAAGGGAGGGAGGGGGAGAGAGAGGAGAGGATGGGATGAAGAGAACAGAAGAGGGGGATGAGTCTCCTTCATTCAGTAGTCTTTCACATGGGTGGAAAAGCCCACACTGTCCAATTTTTCCCGTATGCGCGTAGGTGTGCTTTATGACAAAAACTAAAAGAAATCCACCGACAGTAACGCACACTGCGATGCACACACTCCCAGTCCGACAAACATACACACACACACATACACACAGCCACACACACCTCCCTCTCAGGTCTTTCCAAAATGTGGGGAAGTATCTCCCTGGGCGAGAGGGAGGGGAACAAAAGTTGCTTCTTGGTGGAGGAGTGAAAAAAGAAAATCCCCCCAAAAAAACCCAATAACACAAGACACACAAAACCGAAAAAGAAAAAAGAGAAATCTTTTGGGTGAAACAGCAAAAGGTGAAGATGGGTCATTGTTGAGTTAGCGTGGTGTGTCGTTTTGCGTGTTGGGGCTAGCTGGGTTTTGTTCCGGCTAGCGCGGGGGTCGGAGGGTCGGTGGATGAGCACTCAGCCGTCGGACACGGGCGGGGACACCCAGCCGTACTTCTCGTGGGTCTTCACCAGGGACTTGAAGGTGGCCTCGGCTTCCTTGCGGCTGAAAGCTTTCTTGGACTTCCCTGATTTCCTACATATACGCCCCTGTGAGGACACAGATACAGAGAGAGAGAGAGAGAGAGAGAGAGAGGAAGGGGGTGAGAGGGAAATGAGGTTAGGATTGTGATACAAAAAGATACAAAATACAGACGCCATCAAACTGTCCGCTAATGGGACGAGTTGACGCATTCCTTCATTTCTTTAGGATTCTTAGTGGGGTCTGTACACAATAGTCCTTCATCTCGTCTCAGTTCGAGGACACCATCACAAAGGTGTAGCCAACAGTACGGACAGCAAGGTCATGTCTTTCACAATGTCTTTGTTGGAGATTGTTGGGGGTTTTAAAGGAGCTTTATAATACAAACGTGGGTTTTTTAGAGCAAAACTTCTACATTCTGTGAAATTAATTTTGCTTTCTGATAGAGAGTTGAATGAAGATTTAGAACACGCTTGTTTATTATGTTTCAACACTTTAGTTTTTGTACGGATTGAAGGGACAGTGTGTAGGATTTGGTGGCACTGTGCGGTGTAGTTGCTGAACACCCCTTCACTGACTCCTCCCTTTACAAGACTGCCTTCAGGTAACGTAAAAAATGTAAAAAGGCACTCCCGAGAGTAAGTGTTTGATATTTCCGTTCTGGACATGTGTAGAAACATGGCGGCGCAACATGGTGGAAGCTCACAAAAACACAACGATTCTTAGTTTGGGGTGATTATACACTAATATGAATATTAAATTCCATTTCTGCTAATAGATCTCCAAATGAAATGCTCCACACTGGCCCTTAAAGAACCAAGATATAACGTGTTATTTACTCAACTAGAGGTCCTGGTAGGGAGATTTGTCTTTATGCTAAGCTAAGCTAACCGCCTGCTGTTTTAAGCCTTGTATTTAACAGACACGTGAGTGGCATCGGTCCTCTTATCTAACTTACAGAAAGTGAATAAGTGAATTTCCAAAAATGACAATGAAGATGAACCGGTGAATAAATAATAAATAAAAAAAACGTCAAAACTGTTATATTCAAATGTTTTCTTGTGTGTCTTGTTGAAGGTGTCGAGCTGGAGGAAGTTGGACTCATGACGTCAGTTTTTCCAATTCCTGGCTACAGCCCTGCAAACAATGTCTGCCAAAGAACCTACTTCCACGCAATCTATTTGTTTGTCTGGCTGTCTGTCAGAAAGCCATTTATGAATACAATTTCACAAAACTGGACAGACAAACAGGTCCTGAGTCCAAGAACAATTGATTGGCGTTATTGGCGATGATCTAAATGAAGGATCTCAGCAAGTACGTGATTCATGTAGTTTTGTTTTGCCATACGATAATGGAGATAGAGGTGTCCTTCCAACTCCTGCCGTTGTGTTTGCCAACTAAGCTGCATAAATCTAAAGCTGCTATGTGTAGATTTTTAGGTGATAGCATTTAAAGCTGCAACTAATGCCAGGAATAATAAATCTGCCAATCATTTTGGATGGTAAAAACTGTTTGACCTGTAAAGTGTCAGAAAGTGGTGAAAAATGACCATCCCCGTTGTGTAAAGGCGCAAAAATATTAAGTTTACAATCATGTAAAACAGAGAAAAACAACAAGTCATCACACTGGAGGAACTTCAACCACAAATGTTCAAAGTGACTGTTTAGTAAGTGGAACGAAAGTCTTGTTTTTTTTTGCATGTTTACATTGATTTTGCTTTCTGGGCCAAATGAAGAATATCATTGTGTGAAGTGTACATTAAAAAGAAGCCTATATGTCAAATTTGTTATTTGTCAGATCTGGATTTGCGTTTTTTGGATCAAAAGAAAGATGATTCTCTTGCTCACAATTGTCAGCAGTGTTGTCAAGCTCCTTCCAGAAAAAAGTGTTTCAAGTGTCTCTAGACAGAATATAAGACAGAGATACAGCCCACACATGCACATGGATGAACTCGCTGGTGAATGCACTGCCGCAGTGGAGATGTTGACAGGGCGAGTGGTCTGAATGCAGGTTTAACATTAGATCAATGTTTAAAGGCCGGGAAAAGGGCTTTTAAGACCTCAGGTCCAATCAGAAGTACCCTCCACTACACTGAGCAATGGAGAGCCAAGAGATACCCGGAACCAACTACTGCACTGAATGATGAAAGAGTTGAACATATGACAAAAAATAAATATATGAGCATGTAACCCTCTTGTGTGAAAAGCATCTCACAGCGACATTTTTAGCCATGCAACACCTTGATGGAGCCCTCCCTCCTTCACACACAGGAGCTAATAATATGCGTGGGATAACAAGGGGCAAAATACAAATGGAGAAAACAGGTGTGACGATAAAGCTGCTCATTCTGTTTTGTTGGCAGCGGTGCTAAGTCTTCCCTAAAGCCTGTGGGAGGAACTTCACATTGAAACACTCTGATAGATACAGAGCCACGACAAAGGTGTAAATCAAATAAAAAGTCACTACCGTTTGAATAAAAATCACCTCAGAATTACAGAAACATAAGAAATGGAAGGTAAATTGGTCTGACTGCACAGTAAATCTCTGGTCATACTGCAACTATACTGAGGCAGCATCCACCAGGTCTAATAGGTGAAGCAAATACGAAAGAGCCTGCAAACCTGCATTCTTTCTAATGGCCATCGGGGGGGCGACTCCTCTGGTCTGATTGTATAGAATTCTATGGGAAAACATACCTATTTCTTACTTGATTTCTTACCTCAGTAAACATTGTAAGCACGACTTTAAGGTCTTAATTGCTAGTTTCAAGTCTTCATTCAATATAGGTGTTCATTTAAATAATGGTCCCATTTAGAGTAAAATAGACCATAAAGCAGCGTATGCTTTAGGGCGGGGCTACCTTGTGATTGACAGGTCACATGCCACGGCGTGTGGTGTGTGTTTTTGTCTTACAACTTTAACCCTTTCCCAATGTGTTTTCAGCTCATGAAAATTAACTAACATTTTGGTCGCATAAAATTTCTTATTCAGTCGTCCTTAGCTCCACCTCGTGTCGCTTCTGGCTGCAAAAAAACAAATGGCGACGGACAAAATGCCAAACTCAAAGCTTCAGGACAACAGTCCACAAACCAATGGCTGACATCACGGTGACTATACGTCAACTTCTTATTTACAGTCTATGAGCTACACTGAAGTTTATGCTGTAGTTGATTCACTAGACACTGGCCTGTTGCAGTGCAATATGTCTGGTACTTTCCTGTAATTGTTTGTACGTGCTCCATAACAACACTGCATCACTTCCTTCTACCCAGAATGCTTCTTGGCAGTGAGAAAATGGCACTGAGGCCACTCTACTCCACTGAAACCACTACTAATGAAATTATTTTATATGGTGAGCTCCTCTGCATGCTGCAGTGCAGATAAATAGCCTCATATTGTTAGACACCCATGGTCTGCACGTTAGTCCTGCAGCTGTACGATCCACTGTCTTGTTTTTTAGGAGGAGAGCACAGGGTAATTGGAGCTACGTTTAGGTTGGCCATTGTAGTGACACAGTGTCTGATACACAAGAAAGCAACTTTTCAATCTGTTTAATTGTCCAGCTGGTGCTTAAAGAAGTAGTTTGACATTTTGGGAAGTGTGATATTTAAGACATCACTCTCATATTTGTGTGTGTCGTAAATATAAAGCTACAGCCAGTTAGCTTAGCTTACCATAAAGACTGGAAACAGTTGGATACTGCTAGCCTAGCTCTTTCCAAAAGTAACAAATTCTGCTTACTAGCACTTCTAAAGCTCAAATTAACATGTTATATCATGTCGTGTCTGTACAAAAACACTGTCAAGAGTTGTCTTGACAGTTTCTTGGGACGTTTTCATTGCTGTCAACATCACAAACTAGATTTCAAATCAGCACCGTTATTAGGGTCTTGATAGATATCTGAAAACCTAAATAACTAAAACCAAACTATTTGCATGGCTAGTGGAGCATCATGCCTAATAAAATGTCTATGTTTCTTTTGTAAATTAGCGGACTACCTCTTAGTCCAAGTCAAAAACAAAATATCTGACTATGCTTCTATTTTGTGTCAGTGCTAGTTAAGCTAGTTTTCTCTCTAGCGTTTAACTTTGAAACAAGTAAAGAAAATCCGACGTTTTTCTCAATCCTTTCAATTCATTCTAGAAAAAATTCTACAAATACACTGATTCGTATTAATCCCTGATTCCTGGTCAAATAAAACAACCCTGCTAGCTCATTACAATAAGATTAGCAAACTGCGAATTCGTGGTTTAAGGACATAGAATTGTTGTCCCTGTAAAACAGTCTTACTCCTGAATCCAAAAGGCAACAGCTCACATATCTTTTTTTAACTACTTTTGTCTCAACACCAGGAAAAAAGAGCCCAAATACAAGATTTAGATGAGGACTAGAGAGATTAAACAAGATAAGTGTATCTGCATAATCTTTAACATTAGCCTTGGGAAAGCATTAGTGCTGTATTTAAAAAAAAAAGAAAAGCTGTCAGTTCCTTTTACAAGACGTGGATTTTAGGACTAGCTGCATGCTTCTTCATGCAATGAGACACATCAGACACTGTCCAGCGTTAATTCTCTGCTCCCGCGACATCTGATGGATGATCGGTACGTCCTGTTGCGTACTTGCCCGGCTATTTTGGGTCAAAAGTGATGCCGGGGATAAAGGGAGATGAGGTGATAACGTTGAATGATCTGGAGATTAGGGTTACAGTTTCCATTCCTGTAGCAACACTGGCCTCATTCCACTGTGGGGCTTAGCGATACTCTCTCTCAAGTTGTCCCGCAATCTCTCTCGAACAGACACACATCTTGAAGAGCTTGCCCTATCGTTTCCACTTGTATTTGAATCAATATTGAAATCCACCCCTGCTATAAATGTCCACCATGACGAGTCATTTGGCGCATGAAACTAATTTTGAAACAAAAATTGAGCGAAACTAAAACAAGACAGTATAGGGCCGATCTCACCACCAGTATGAAGGCAACGAGGAAGTCGATTCGCGCTGGAAACAAGAAACTTTTCCCTTCGATGCATGACGCAATGAGTGACTCATTCAGATAGACACAAGCAGCGTTCCTTAGGGACTTGCTCTGATCCACACAGCTATTAAAATGGCACCTAAGCAGCGCTGTCTGAAACCTGCTCGGCCTCTCTGTGCAGCCAGAGGCCTGTAATACAGATTACCCAGGCTGACAAACCCAGATAATGCACCAATTGGCCACTGTCACAGAGCATTGGGGAAAAGCCTGGATATGTTGTTCTCCTAATATCTTCATGCGTCACCATATGTATAACACTACGGCCATAGCTGAAGAGGTGCGATTACCGTGGTGATAGATGGCAGGGAGGACTGGGCCCTCATCTTGTTGTGAGCATCATGTGTATGTTTTTCAGTTTGTTACCTATGAGGAGAACATGGTATGTGTGTGTGTGTGTGGACAAATTAGATGGACTCTGTTTGCATGTGTTTACCCTGAACATAGTGTGTATGTGTGTGTGTGACAGAGAGACAGAGTATGATAGGGGAAAAGAGTGACAATATGCGTGTGGATGTGTGTATTGTTGCACAAGGGTCTATGACTTCAGCATGAAAAGGGGAAATTGAGCATTAACTGGCGCCATTGTGTTCGCAGTCATCTACAAGAATGACTCGGCGTGACGCATCCAAAGCCGGACGGAGAGAGAAAGTAAAAATATCTGGTCGTGAGAGAAAGAATGGGCAAACAAAAGTGTGTGTGAGTGTGTGTGTGTGTGTGTTGCCAGCTGAGCGCCCCCGGGCCTATACAGTGCCATGTCAGTGTTTATCTATTTCAGCTAAGCACTCGCTGGTTGAGAGGTACACACTCGTGTAAAGTGGCTGCTGGGTAATCGTGTGAATGGAGATCAGTCAATGGGCAGCAGAGGGAAGGCCCCAGTGCATCTTGGGAAGCAGCTCTGGGGGCATTGGGGGGTGTGTGGGATGTGGGGGATTGCATAACGCAGACATGTGCTTAACGGGGTCGGGATAAACAAACAAGGATCAATGTCATCGCATCAGATCGTTATTAAGGACAGCCCAGTGGGTCTGATGACGGGGTCATTAAAGGATAATACCACTGTCTTTTTTGAGGTTGGTGTCATTGGTTTCATTTCCTCTGTCTGCACACAGTCAGCATACCACTTTGCTGTCATTCATCCTTGTACAGACTTCAATAGAACAATGAAATCCATCACAGAAAACAGGAAACCTCAAAGAGGGAACTCCACGTCCCACGTTAAACAGCGTCATGTCTTCTGAAGGAACTTTCCAAAGCTGGAAAAAATAACCGTGATGATGTCATAGGGGGGGTCATCTCGGCTTGGAAGTGGAAAGTACACATTTTTTAAGAGAAAGTCTACACTACTGACTCAATTTGAGAAAAGCAACATAGAGAAAAGCAGCAATTTATTACACGAGAGAAGGTGGAACCAGCGAATGTTTTTTTTGCTTAATAAATGGCAAAGAAGGATGAATCTTCAAAATTCTTGTCACCTCGCAAATTGTTTTCACATCTTTTTACCGGGTGTCGTCTTTCGCACTTGATAGCAGCTCATTTCAGGCTACGCACAACTGGTTTGTATTTTCAAATGAGTGACACCCAGCTGACAGGTGATTTTTACGTGACGAAGGTCTGAAGACTGAAGTGTTGTCAGTGTGAGTACGAGTGACTGACAGTCAATACAGAAATGAATAGGGAATAAGATGTCTGCAAAGAAATCTAATTATTCTTGCCTGCAGTGCAAAGTGAGAAGAAAAGAGTAGGTTATAGCCAGGAGTATACTTCTAAATACCACTCGTGTACTTTCTAAACACTGCTGTACAGACAGCAGTACAGATCAACTACCAAATTAGCTCACGCTACAAAGACACTTATATCAGACATGAGGTGTTTCTACCACCTGCAAAGCACTATGGGACTTAATTCACTGTCATACAAGATAGATTACAATGTGCCAGTGATTGCCTAAAAATCGGAAGTTAAGTATCTGAAGGCCAGACTGGTGAACTGGTGATTACCTTTAATAATGTCTCCTCATTTCAGCTTGTGTGATTGTGTGTGTGTGTGTGTGTGTGTGTGTGTATGTGTGTTTGTGTGTTCCTTCACATCTGCAGGTGAAGACACGTGTGTCTCTGTTGACTTTCACCTCAACACTTTGTCACCGCGTGTTTCCTCTCACACTAAAAATAGGCAGCAAGCTTCTAAATAAACTACTTTCCTATTGTCAGAGCGAAATCGGTGCCCAGGGACGAATAAATCTATCCTGTTTTTTGAGGTTTATATATATATATAGTTCCTCGTTTGTCGTGATGCATGAGTGACGAGTTCATCTCGCAGAAAATGAGGACATACAAGCGCCAGCGTGGGCACACAACCACAGAAGAGACGAACAAAGACATAAAGAGGTGCGCACACACACACACACACACACACACACACACACACACACACACACAGAGGAATAATTAATCAATAGTGTTTCCATTAGCAAACTGGAGAGGGAAGACACTGCACCATAATTAGGGAGCACTGCGGAGCTGCCTGCTCATCTCCTCAAGCAGCAAATCAAGATGAACACACACACACACACACACACACACACACACGCACACATGTTCCTCTCTCTTAGCTGTGGGTACAGTTTTGTTGTTGTTGCATGACCTTGCTTGGTTACAGATGCTTAATGACAACAGAGGACTCGGGAATAGTGTTCAGTTATATCATGCAAGACAAAAAAAGCACTAAGGGGTTGGGGGGGTTTGGGCAGGAGAATCCAGTGACAGTTTACATAAGGTCTCCTGCCACAGCGCTGTCATGCTGCTGACGTCAGACAGAGAGTCAGTGAGGAGAAAGAACCAAGACTCTACGGATGAAATGACTGGGATATGATGCAAAAGTGAGCATTTTGAAAACGCTATTAGAAAACTGTGATTCTTATCAGGGTGGAAACTAGAAAATCGATTCAGAGTTTAAACGATTATAGCCAGGAGTGCATTCGGAGATTCAGGCTTTTCTATTGAAATTGCAGAGCTGCTGCTGCAGTGCACTGAGGATGTGAAAAACAGATTTGACAGGATTACATAATCCAGTCAGTCTAAACCAGAGAAGCCTGCTGGTAGGTAAACTATACCTGCTGCCACCATTTATTCAAATGTCTTTCCATCCGTCATCACGCATCATCACATGTTGAATAACTTTGTCCAATAATCTGCTGTAGCACACATATTGTGAGGCTGCATTAGAGCCAGTGGAGGGGCCGCTCCATTTCATGGCAGATGCTGATTTATGGAGGCAATAAAAGGAGAGCAACCCGGTGCTGCAGAGAAGAGCTTGAATCAAGGAGATACTGAGGTTTGGGCTGCATGAAATGGCTGCTGTAAAGTCACATAAAGATTAATAATATTCACATTCATGGGTTGGCTCACAGCAAGGAGGAAGGGGAGGAGACTACGGGCCTACGATGTGACACTGATAGCTCACACTGAGCATGATGAATGCTATAAATAGGCTAAACATATAGCAAATGCATCAATTGTACTGCATGTTTTTATCATTTAATGATAAAGTAACTGTCTCCCATTGGCACATATTTCCTATTGGGATAAACTCGTGAATTTCCCTTTAAACATGTTGACTAGAGAGATCACTGCACTGGTGTCCAAAAATGACACTCCATTCAGGAAAATAAAAAATTAAAGTAGATTAGCAAAGATGACATTACCAAAAACATGTTTTCTCCAGTTGTATTGTACGAAATACTGCTTTAAACATTCATATTAGACTAAAAGCCTCGCTATGGTGGACATATGTTGTACATGCGTAAAAGCAGTTTTACGAGTTAATTACGCATGACGCACGAATGCCTAATGGGATTGGTCATACCCAGTGCGTGTCGTGGCTGAAAATGAATGTACTAGACATGATTAACATGCTGTATGGTTGATGGATCACCCGCCAGCCCTTCATCCCCTCACCTGTCCTTTTACGAGGCTGGCCGCAAACTGCCTCATGACTGCCTCCACCGTGTAGGCGCTGGACCATCCACGGGGTGTCAACAGCTCCATGCATATGGCCCCGCCGTCCAGCACGTAGCCGTTCTCCAACCGGGGCGTCAGGACCCGCATAAACGGCGGCGAGAAGGGGAAATTGTCGGGAAAGGTGACGTTGAGCAGTATGAACTCGGTGCTGGTCTCCTTCATGTCCTGCCACAGCGCCGAGTCCTTGTCCACCTGGTGCAGCTTGACGTTCCAGTCATACAGGTTGTCCTCCACCAGCTCCACCGTGATGAAGTTGTCCCCTAACCTCCTGATCTCCTGTAGCTCCTTCATCAGCCTCCGCGTCCGGACCTGGGTGCAGTGTTGCCGGTGAGGCGCCAGCGGTGGTATCGAGGTGGCAGTGGTCGCTTTACTCCCGCCTCCTCCCGTCTGCTGCTTCTCCTTCGCATCCTTGCCCTGCTTATCCTTGCCGGACGGCTTGTCCTTGCCCTGCTGGTCCAGCTTCCTCGCCTTAATCTCCGGGGTGCTCAGGATGTTGGTTTCGTTGGCGGTTTGACAGTGTTTGTTGGCGTTGTTCTTCTGGTTCCCTTTAGTCCCCTTTAGCGAGCCCTGATGGTGCTTCGGGTCCTCGGTGTCTCGGTCGTGGAGGCGGATGAGACCGATCTTCCGCAGTAAGGTGGCCATAATTTTCTATAGATCTATGGTTCTCCGCCGATCCCCCCCGCACAGGGGCAAGAATCACCCTTTACAGTCGGTCCCCGCTCACAGAGAAGACCTTTCTTGATGCTGATTATCAACCTTGTACCGCAATCACCCCCTCCGCTCACTGTAGCCACAGGATGAACACAACCGGGGAGCCTGTCCAGTTTTCTCCTCAGTGCATCATTTCGACGCGGCTCGACTGAAGAACGAAACAGCAAAACCACAATAAATGCGAGTTTAGGTGAATATTCACTTACAGACAACACCAAAATAAAACAGTTTTGTCTAAGTAGATTATTGGAAGTGTACCAACACCATGACTGTGACTGCAGTTATTCAACGATAGATATATACATTACGCACGAGCAGTGCATAATAGTGTGAAACATATTAGCAGATGAGCGTCTATTATTGTTTTGCACCGAATAAAATACATGAATATATTACAGGAACGTTAACGTAATGAACGTAAAGAGAGGGAAAAAAAACATAATGCATCACAAGGTTGTTACAACAAATGATCTTCTCACTAATGATTAGACACACTAGGCTCCTATAGGAAAAATATAGGAACACAGACTATGGGAGAATAAAACACATACATATTAATATTACTAAGGTCACGAAAGGCTTTGAGGATATATGCACCATAGACGGTTGAAAAAATACTATGGATTATATTATTATAGGGAATTTAAATACCATAAATACCATATGCGCCAAACAAGATAAATTCTTATCATAAGAATATGACACATTCTCCTTTATGTGCTCCGCCGCCCACACGGACCCAATATCAGACCAGCAATCCGACAGCAGCCCGTGCTTACCGTAGACGGCTGAGAGTCGAAGTATGTCCGTTTTTATATCCGGTTATGTAGACCGAACACCGATCCCGTTGAGAGTAAAAAGCAGAAATGTCTCCACCGTCCAGTAGACCTGCCGTCGGAGGGAGCTGCAGCGAAGAAGAGAAGGAGAGCCTTTGATGTGTGTGTGCAGCTGCAGCAGCTCCGGTTTTAATGCAGCCGAGGACAAACCAGCCCCCGGTAATCCTTCTGAGGCAATCTGTTCCCACCGGTGAAGCTCTAACACGGCTAGGCCTTTTTTTTTCAAAATAAAAGCCCTGAAATTGCATTCAAAGTAAACTAAGCACCAAAATGGATAAATTCATTTTGAAAAATCATAAAGAATATAGGCCTACTGTATATGGAAATACAGCAGTGGCATAATCCGGTTGACGATTACAATAAGGACCACACATAATAATACATTGATCAACATCAACTATAAGCTTCTATAAATTGATGCCTTTCACCATACAACTCACCACATCTTTAACATGAACTCATTAACTATTGGACGTATAAAGAAAATTGTCAACACATTAAGATATGATTCATATCAGGGAAAAATAGAAAACTGTCTTTAAATGAACAGAGCAGTTGAACAAACGATTACTGAAAAAAATTGCATAATTTTTAATCGAATCTTAATGTAATATTACTTTTATTTTGAAATTCCATTGTATATTTCCTTGTTTATTCTGGCTAAATCTGTTTAGTTTGACGTTCTTGTGTAGAGAATAGACTATTGCCTCTATTCAATTCAACTTTAGTCTCCCATTTACCCCAATGCTGTCAGCACATTTATATATGACACTGTCACACTGAGTGACCAAAACTCCGCTTTATTTTGGAGGTCCGTTGGAAAATACAGGGTATTTTTGAGCCTTATAATAAGAGACAGATAATAAGACTAAATGTAGGCCGGTGTCTCGGCATTTGTCAGACATGGGTTTAATTTTCCTTCATGAGGTGTATGATTTTAAATGTAGAGAGGCATTGCAGTAATATATTTAATTTGTTTCTAAGCATATTTGTAAATTTGCAGTAAGTACATACTGTACTGAGTATGTACATTCGGTCATACATAGTAATAATACAACATAGCTGGATGATGCTGGATATGAAACAATTATTTAATTATGGCACATATTAATATACATTCTCATTAGGATTTACATCAGTAAGCCAAGAACATTTGGCATAATAATTGTACAATACTGGTTTAGATGCAGTCAAATCCCTCTAATGAACTCAATCCAGTTTATGGTTTTGACAAAGAAGCGTCTTCTCAACTGGCAGCGCGACACTTTGAGGCAGTTTACGACAACCGGTCATTGGTCGTTACCTTGGTACCAGAACAGCACCCACAGCGATTGGCTTATTCTGTTGCCGTAAAGTACTGCGGTCGTTGTGACTGCCGTAGAGTCGGTGGTGAACAGCCAAAACCGATTATTTTAGACAAAAAGGAGTCTTTTAAAGGGAGTATTTTCTATTTATTTCCGTAGTTTAAATATAGTCGGTTAAAGATGGCGGAAAAATTTGATAATCTGGAGGAGAATCTGGAGAAATTTATCGAGAATATTCGACAGTTGGGAATCATCGTCAGCGACTTCCAGCCCAGCAGCCAAGCAGGACTCAACCAGAAGCTGTGAGTCGCGAGGACGTTACGACACGAATCTGCGAGTGAGCATCGTGTTTAACTCTACGGTTGACTTTTCTTTCTCAGAAACTTCATGATATCTGGACTGCAAGACATCGAGAAGTGCCGTCAACAGCTCCACGAGATCAACGTACCGCTGGAGGTCTTTGAGTGAGTCTAGTAACGTTAACTTAGCTGTTCTGTTATTGTACCTGTCCGGCTTTCATAACCTATATAATAATAATAATATCTTCTTTATCTGCTGTTGTCTGCTGCATTACTGTGGGTGCACGTATTTGTTGTGTTGAGAGAATAGCTTTGCGTTAAAGCCACGCCAAACCCCATTAGAAATTCTGGCGATTTTACATTATCATTACTTTACGGCAATCTAGTAATGGTACAGGCCTCTGTTTTTACTTTGACTCAGGTTGTTAAGAGCCACTTTTAAATTCGGCATAGATATGTATAAAAAAAAAACCAACTAAACATTTGTTTTTGTTGCCACTCTTCATGGTGTACTGTATGCCCAGACCGAAGGCCAAGCTACCCAAATTTAGCTCATGGAATTCCTAAATCCTTTCTGTGCTTCATAGTTTCGTCCCGGCTACCTCGGCTGATGTTGTGCCTTGTGTGCGTGTGTTTTGTAGATACATCGACCAAGGTCGAAACCCTCAGCTGTACACCAAGGAATGTCTGGAGAGAGCCTTGGCGAGGAACGAGCAGGTCAAAGGGAAGATTGACACCATGACGGTAAGTGATTGTGCCAGGGTCGCTGAGATTCCCCACCAGTGACACAGCGAGAACAAACTGCACAAACAGACTATCTCACTGATTAAATGCTCCCAAGCGTGTTTGGGAATTTCTTAAAAGATAAAAAATGTCCCTTTTCAAGGACGATCTTCATTGAACAAAGAGCTATGTACTCGAGATAATCCTCTCTGTTGAGTAGCTGATGAATTAATTGTACTTGGACACAATGCTTGAATCAACACCTCTGCTCTAGTTATCAATAATTTCATACATTTATTCTACATGCAGATGTTTTATTTGGTAATGCAATTGAGCACAAGGCAGATTTCTTATTGGTTTGATCAACGTTCATTAGTTTATCATCTTCTACATGAAAAGTAGTTATTATCAGTATCGATGACAAACCAACATCTGCTGTTTTATTGTCTTTTATTACAGAAATTCAAGAGCCTTTTAATCTCCGAGCTCGGCAAAGTCTTCCCAGAGGAGATGGTGAAGTACAAGGCTATACACGGAGAAGATGCCCCCTCCTAGTGACCACTGCCACCCCAGACCTTCAGCCTGTGAGCCTTGAATTGAAAGCCTGAACTGAGTTTGACCAAGCAGGTTGCCCCAGAATATGATAAAAACCTTGTTATTATTTCTCGTAAATAACGTGATGCTGTTGCCGACTAAGAGTTTTCTTTTAATTTCTGCTCAGCACCGTGACTCAGCCAAACCTGTCCTTTTCTCTCCATTTAAACTTAATTTAAAGAAATGTAAATCAATAGCGAGTATGTGGGAAGAGTGGAGAAGGGAGAGCGATCATTTTCAGCTCTGGGTTGATGTGCTGCCAGGAGACACATTTAGTTTTAATGTCCTGTTGATGATGCATGGGCACTCAGTGGGCAGCAGAGGCCGTTTCCACAACTCCTAACTGTACGGAAGATAAATGTTCAGGAGCTGCAAGGCACCAATCTGACTTTACTCCCATCAGATGTACATACAGTATATTTATACTCTTACACTTTTGCCTTTTGTAATGCTTCCTAATCATTGTGCAACATACGTTTGTACCACAACACAGTTCATGACGTTTTGTATCGAGCTCAGGTTTCTAATGGCCACGATGATTGAATGCAAATGCTCTTTGATGGTAATTCTGTGCCTGATCGCTTGTCGTGGTCAGAAATGAGTCCACTCTTTATTTGTACCTTGTTTGTATTATAATAGTTTTTTGTTATTAAATGATCCTTGTCGGACTGGTTCTGTGTTTCGACATTGTTTTTATTACAGGCAGGAGATTCAACCAGTCACCTGTGAGGTTTGTATGCTTCAATCTTACAGAATTACTCGTAAAATATAAGATGATATAGAGTATAAAATATGGCATTATTAGCAGAATTTTATGTTGTATTTGCTGACAAACATTGTTATTTTGCTGTCATTGTACATGCACAGAAATAAATATACAGCTGAAAACAAGAACAACAAAGATGAACAAGAGTAAAAGAATATAAATGTATATATATAAAGTACAACAATGTCTAAGTCAGGCTGTTGTTGTATATTGTAAACTATAACAGTAGTGCAATGGTGCAGAGTGCAAATGCTGGTAGAAATATTAAATCATTCATGTACCAGGTTGCTTTATATACATATGTACAGTAAAATCATTTACTTTTCAGTTTACAGTATATTAAGTGCATACAACAACTTAAAATCTTATTTTCAGGGATTCAAAATTATTAAAATACCAAAGAATATGAAACTGATGAAGCCAAAGTATACAGTATATCTATATATATTTAGTACTATTGTAGTATTTTGTGCTATTAGAAATAATAATAATAACCTAAAATAAAATATAAAAAAGGGTAATTATGGAATTATTTAAAAATCCCATGAACCAAGATGACTGTCAAAATAAAAGCCTGTAACTTGGCTGAATGTGTCAGTGGGCCAGCAGCAGACATGATGACGCTCAGCTCAAGAGTCTCCTCCAGAACGCCTTGCATTGTAACTATAGACAGCCGGTGCAAGTGTGAGCGTCTGCCCGTCTATAGCAGAGGCACAGATGCTCTGGAGACAGGGCCGCGTCATCAGGCAGGTCACGGCCCACCACGCCTCCTCCTTCTAGGGGTTTAATCACGACGACGCCCCCCCCGGTGACCCTGGAGGCCGATCCTCTGGGAGAGAAGGAGGGAAATGAGCTCTGTTATTGGTTTGTGATCTATGCAGCCAAGTGATACGGTCAGCCCTCTCCCCTCGCTGTCACTCTTCCCTGAGGATTACCGAACACGCGTCTCGTTTAGTCAGCGGTGGTTCAGTGAGGACTCAGCTTCCATCTTCTATCGGGGGAGGAGTAGAGTCCCGGATGCCATATTTCTCAACCTGCTTTTTAGATGTTGCATGTACTGTATGTGCTATAATGTATTAACTGGTTGATACTTACAGCCTTTCTGTGGAATGTTAAAATCTTACTCCTAATTCTTGCTTTTTAAAAGGAATAGTTTCTTATTTTGGGAAATACACTTATTTGGCTATCTTGAGTAAAATGAGAAGATAGATACCAGTAAAAAGTACTGTAACAAAGCATAACAAACATATGAGTTGTCATGAACACATGCCTTGACTCCTCTCTACATTTGTGTCTCTTCCTCTCCCCTTTTGCTCGCATCTCAGGTGGGAGGAACTGAGACGCAAGGAAAGGAGTGAAGGAAAGGAATTGTGGATGTACAAACTGAGAAATGAGAAGAGTCCCTCTCTCTCTCTCTCTCTCTCTCTCCCCCCCCCCCCCCCCCTGGCTTCTACCCTGTTTGGTTACTTAGTTTAAGATTTCACAAATTTTCCTTTTAATTATGTAAAACAAACTTCTTTTTTAGTTACAACTCATGTGTGGTCTCCCCTCCTTTGTCCAGTCTTGATATGTGCTGCATAGGCGGATTTTGTAACCCTCGGCCAGGGCCAGGCTAGCTGTTTCCCTCTGTTTCCACTTTTTTGTTGTAAGCTAACTGGCTGCAGCTTTATCGTGCAACATGAGAGTTGTATAAATCCTCTCATCTAACTCTTCAAGGGAGCAAATTCGCATTATTTCCCAACGTGTCAAACTATTCAGAACTATGAGCACATTTTCATGCAAAATAAATAAATATTCCGGTTGAGTTCACGCATTCTTTTGGCAAGGACAGTTTAGTGTATACCCACAAAACCTGTGGAGTATATAAAGGCGTAGCAGTACATTTCATCTTTCCACTGCCTGAGTACGACGGCATTAGATGAACAGACCTGTCGATACAGTCTTTCAGCGAGGATGCACTCAGAGCACCTCAGCCGCCTCTATTCCTCCACTCTTCATTGTCGCCTATTTTTACCCTTTGACCACGCTTCTGTGACTCCGGATGACGAACGTCCTCACTGCAGCGAGTCACAGAGGCGGTGGTCAAGGGCACCCTTTCAATCCAATAACAAGCCGATTCGGAGGAGTGAGGAATTAAATTAAATGCTGTTTTTATCCAGTTTGCGATTGTGTCTGCTCACCGTGACATTGTTGTCACCGGGTGACACTCTGATTGTGTGTGTGTGTGTGTGTGTGTGTGTGTCGTGATGCTTGAGTAAACTGAGAAGGGGAGAGCATTGTGCTGTACATGTGTCTCAGTATGTAGGTGCTGAGGTGTGTTGAATGACTCATCCAAGGTGACTGAGTCTTTCTCTCTCCTCCTTTTCTTCCCCACCCGTTCACCTCCTCTCCTTGTGCTCTCAGGACCCGGAACAAACATCATCTTCCTTTAGTTTCCTCCTTATGTCTTTTTCAATGGCCAACATTTTTTCTTCTCCTGTCGCGTCCTTTGCTATATTTTCAAAAGGGCACTGGTGCGTTGGAAAATGTGGAGGTGGGCTCTCTTTCCCTTCTTTCATTTAGTCATTCTCATTGGCTTGAAGGGTGCTTTTAACGCAGGAGGACACAGGTCATATAACACGCTGGGTGGAGTAAATACCGCAGAAGCCAGGTCTTGAGATTTTTCATTTTGTCCGCTAGAAGAGCCCTCCATTCTTCAATTTCATGGTGTAAATGGGCCACTCGACAAATTGCTTTTCAAAAACAAAAGGAACGGCTGCAGTGCCAGCGCTGTCTTTGTCCTGCAGGTATCATATTGTGAAGGTATGTTTGGTGTAGTATCAGGTGAGCTGTTGCCTTTGCAGTCTCTAAATAGTTAATTCAATCCCCTGAAAACATTAATTCGGTCAAAGAAAGGCATTAGTAACAGTAAGCATGCAGCCAGTTATCACAAGACCTCCAATTTAACCACCATTTATTTTTAGCTGAATGCATATTAATTAAATACTATTTTTTATGTCTGATCTAACTATACATTTATTTGATCAAGCCTTGTATCTAAAAGAAGACACTTAACTCCTTTACAGGGCCTTTAAAGTGTTCTATTGTCACCTCTTGCCCCCATACAAATAATTTGTCCTCTCTCCTGGTCAATTCTAGTTCGGCTACACTGAGGAAGGCGGATGTATATTTATAATTGATAATCAGTTGCATGCACAGGCTGCAAATGTCTGTCGATAGAAAAGGAATATATTGTTGGCTATTGCTATTTCAAGTGAGTACACTGACATGTTAATGCTCCGTAAAGATGTTCTTTGCACAAGTACTTTTACTTTTACTTACTTTACTACTTTACTTTACTTGAATAAAAAAGTACTTCTGAGTCAAATATTCGAGTCCTCTTTTCGTCCCTGTCAATTAGCCCAACTGTAGCTTCCCAGGCCTCATGGTCCTCCCCGTTTTGTCTCCCTTTGTCAGCATCGTGGTGCATCAGCTCTCAACTTGAGTGACGTCAGTCTGTCACCCTGGGAGACGTTTAACCTGCAGAGGTGTTAGCCAGTGTTAATCTTGGACCCAAAAGCTGAGCAGCAACAGCGGCTGGCAACAGCTGAATGAGTTTGTTTAGAAATCTTGGCGAGTTGTATTAGGGGGAAGCTGAGCAAGGGGTTGCAGTGGAGCAGGGGAGGTAGAGAGGACTCATGGGATCACAGGAAGGTAATGAACCTGAGGCACAGGCAGACACGGATTAACGTAAACACAAGAAGGAACTTCACATAAGCTCTTTATTTTTGCCGTAGCATTATCACCACCTTGGCAAACTGAACGATCTGGCAAAGACGGTAGCGTAGAGCCGGGAGCTATATACTGCAGGAGCTTGATGAGTGGATGATGGATTGCAGGTGTGCAGGTTGATTGGCAGCAGGAGTGGAATGAAGAGCCACGGCCAGACAAACAAACAGACAGACACACAGAGAGAGAAAGAGACAGAAAACAAGCAAAGAACCAACAAGAAACTCAAGGAATGTGGGAGAGACACAGCAGAAAGAGTTGGGCTCGTGGGGAGAGGTGTTCACTAAAATAACCTAATAACAGAATTAAGAAAGACAACACTTTTTATAAATGAAGTAAACCACTACAAACTGTTGAGGAAGGTTCTAATGCTTGTTGGGATATTTAGTAATTGCATTGTTACAAATCTGGACAGGCCTGTCTCCTGAACAACGTGCGTTCCCTTTCAACAAAATAGCATTGTGAATGACGTTTTGAGGGAAACACATTTTGTCATGGATCACATTTGCTTTTGACGCATCACAAATAACTTTCAAAAGAGTCAGCGAAGGGAGGAGTTTGGGGCGGTGGATGAGTCGCAGGAGACTGCTGTGAACCAAGTAATTTTGTTGCTTCAACAAAACCAAGTACAAGTTGTGTTGCCAAAACCTAACCAAGTACTTATGTTGTACTTTTGTTTTGTTTCATTTCATTTTCGTAGTCTTTTAAGCCAAACCATTATGTTTTTTTTACTAAACCTAACCAAGTGGTTTTGTAGTATTTTTGAATTTTGTTTTTAAACTGTTTCAAACTGCAACCGTAATCTGTGAACAGAGTTTTGTAGGAGCCAGGGTTGTCCTGACGCAGAAGTTTTGATTTCACTTTGACTCGCTTGTGTAGCTTGTACAGAGTTTAGTTTGTTTTACCCGCCTGCCTTGAAGCCTTTCCTCTCAGTGTCTGCGGACCTTCAAAATGCGTCACATTTTTCCTATTTTATCTTATTTTATCTTCATGCAAATGCTTTGGGACTAAAGGGCTGGAACGGCAGTTGAAATGTACAATCCTCCCTTGCCCTTGGGTCGGCCCAGGAAACACAAAGGCGGGGACTGCTGCCTTTGGTGCTATTAGCATAATGTCTTTCTGATGCTAATGCTAAGTGC